ATGCCATGATACAAGTAAGTAAATAAGTAAAATAAATAAACAAACCCAAAGCCACATGACATGATTCTCTAACTTAAAAACAAAACAAAACAAACTAGAAAATCTTTTTTAAAACTCCAGATTTAAGGAGACAAAAGAATGACTATCAAAATGATGGTATATTATCTCATGCAGAATAGTAAATAAAATGATGTTGTAATGCTGAATAAATTATAATTATATACCCAAATATATTATTATTGATAAGTGGATGTGATGGGAATGCAAATACTTTTTCAAAAAGACAAAAATGAAAGCTTTTATTGCTGACAGACCACAAAGCAACTCCTCAGTATGGTACTACAGCAAGAAAGAAAGTGAGTTCAAAGAAAAGGATTTCAGGATTGAATAAGAGTCTACAAATACATATATATTTTACCCCTTAAAATGTCATCAGTTCATTTATTTTTGGTGGGATTTAAAGTATTGTTTTATATGTTAATTCTCTGTATTGTATAATTTTTACTCTCAAAATATTACTTTTTAATAAGAAAACAGTTCAAATTTTCTTTAAAGAGCTTATCACTGGTAATTCCCAGCCTCTGCTACAGGTCCATCACCTTGGAAATTCTACTGATTTTCTGAGAAGTGTTGACTTAGTATCATGGGAGCTGCTGGGGTGTTAGAATCAGAACTGACATATGGATGAATTTCAAAATAATCTATCATGAAAGTAAAAGAACACAAATGATCAGAGAAGTTATTCAATGTCAAAGGATAGAGGTAGCCCTCCAGCAAAAGATAAAATACTTAGATAAAGTATATATACCACTAAGAGAATTCACAGAAGGTTGAAAAAAAAAACATATAAGAAAATGTCTTGTTATGTTCTGGGATGTTGTCATGCTAAAGGGTCATGATGATGAAGTAATATCTGATGGGGTAGTAGGAGTACTGAGGAGCCCTTGGATCACAACTCACTGTGAAGTCAACTAGGTCTTTCCACACCAGAACAAGAACCCTAAGTTCTATTTCCTGCTATAGTTTTGGTGAGGGTATAAATCCAGGTAGACTAGTTTATACCCCCTTATATTTTCCTATTACCAGTCAAAGAACAATGCAAGGAAGCAGTGGAAAGAAGCACATTTAGAGCACCTATTCTATCAACCTCCATGACTATCCAACATTGAGAACTTATTTCCTTGGCTTTAGAGTCAAAGCCATGCTCAGGAGGGGTCTTTGCTAGGTGTGGAATAGCCGAATGGACATTTATGCCCTGCTTTCTTTAGCTTTTGGCAGAAAATAATAGAAACCATAGGGAATCCTAAGCCAATACAAAGGGATGTATTATAAGGATTGTTACAAAAACAAGGCAAATTCAAAGAGAACACACCAAGCTTGATGCCCCAGTATTCAACAAGGAAAGCTCTTGGGCACAGAGCAGCAGTCACTGAGCCACTTTCCTGTTGGCCATGACATTCTAGGTCAGGGCAGAGATACAGAGCAAACTCAACTGACAGACTTCAAGGAAGGGACTTCAGTCCTCTGGCTGTTTCCTTATCCTGCGAGTTCAGGGCTCACATTAGGGTGAACACTGGCCACTTCTTTAATGTGAGCAAAAGACTGAGTGGGTCCAAGCCTTTTGGTCGCACCCATGTAATAATGGCAATCTAGCCCTTGGGTTTTTCACAGTAGTAAATATTGGAAAGTACCAGCCCTTCTTCACGTGCAATCAGGGGCTGAGTCCAATCCTTGCTCTTCACTACAGTTAGCTGCTTTAAGCACTAGACCATAATAAGTTTCCATGGATTTCTTTAGGAGGCCAACTCCGTCTCTGAATCCAGACTGCAAAGAATCAATCAAATTAACCCTCACCTCTCAAAGATACAATATATATATTTCAAAGACTATGATTAGAGAGAATAGCCAAACACGGCAAGAACATTGCTGGCATTTAAAGTCAAGAACAGAGAAGCTGCTAGAAACCAAGACAGCACTCTCCTCCCTCCCTCACCATCCCCCTTATTATCTCTTCTCTGCTACCTTATGTTTATTCATCTCTTCTTACTCTGAAGACCAGCTTTCTTTACTTCTCCCTGCACATAGCAGGATGATCATACCACCATCTGCATTTGAATTTTTATGTTCTTTTCAGCACTAAGTACAGCCCAAGTCCCAATCTCACACAGAAAGAACATCATTGGCTTTAAGTAAAGAGTTCATCCCTGTTCAATAAACTATGGCACAGGGAGGGTAACATACTACATAGCATGCCTTCCAGAGGTGGGAAAGAGTAGTGTTCACAGGAAGAACACAGCTATAGCTGGAGAGATACAGCTCTGTCACAAAACTCACCCCCACCTATGTGTCTTACCTCAATGAATTTTAATCAGTTTTGATCCAAGCCAGACACATGAGCATGATTTCTATTACTCTTTTATCCTTATCTTCTGTATATAATCAACCATCAAACCATATCAATGCTGTATCTTTAATATTTTTAAACTTCTTATAGTGTAAGAAAATCTTTGCTTCATCCATCTCTACAGGCCAGAGCTCCTCACAATATAACCCCTGAGAGAGCAAAGCTAGGATAGCCAAGTCAACTGTAAGAGAAGCTTTTGATTGTTTTTTTCTTCTTCTCATTTTTTTTTTATTTAGCCCATTCTAGTTTTTTGTATGCATAGAAGTATCATGGTCATTAGACATGAAATTAGTTTTAAGTTCAAGAACTTTCTTTGTGACCTGGGAAATGCACATAGATTCTCTGGGCCACTGCCTTCACTCAAATTCAACCTCTTCACCAGCAAACTTTGAAAATGTCACTTCTATGTCGAGTAATCCCTCTCCATAATTTGTGCAGTTATGACTTTGGTTGAAAAGTGACAGAAAACCAACCAAATTATCTCATGGAGTTTTTGAAGAATTAAACAACCAAAACAGCTTCCCGGTTTCATCTCACACAGGTTCCACCAGAGAAAGGAACTAACTGTTCCAGTTTGAACAATGTTGGGTTAGGAACCTCTTCTAAGCCAGCAGAGAGCAATGTAGGTTGGAGGACGTCCTATGAAAACAACAGGTTCAGAAACAGCTATGTAGACAGTAGGATCATTCCAGAGGGATAAAGAATGCATCTTGGGGCAGATGCATTCTACATCTTAAGGTTCACGAAGACAGGAACACTATTTAACTTGCAATTGAGGAAAAGAGAAGGGGAAACAGAACTACAATTTATTGCTTATGCTCGACTTTCATGTTTCAAAAATAGTACATATTTGACTCTCATGATACTATGAGGAAGACAGATCATTTCAGGAAACTGATAATTATAGAAGCAAAATATAGTCACCTAGCTTAGACTTTGGATAAATTTGTCTCTTTCCGAAGTCCATTCTTTTTTTTACTGTATTATTCTTCCCCTTATCCTGTTCCAGGAATTCCTGGACCCTCAAATGCTTTCATATAGGTGGAGATGAAAGAGATATTTTTCTCTTTTTTGTTCCTAGGGTATAAAATAAACATAATTTGCATAAGCAGTGGCAGTCAGGTCACTCAGACAGCCACATGTGGCAGTGCACAATTCCAATAGACAGCTTGAGCAGATGTTTATGCCTATGGGGACAAGGTTGCAGAATTTACAGAGAAAGACTTCCATAAATATCCATTGAATGACTTCAGATAACCTATGGACAGCCAGCCCTGTCTGTTCCATAGTCATGTGTATATCATTTCACCCACAATCCCAAGGATACCAACGAGGCACTGGCTTTCTTGAAATTTATTCAAGACTCTTAGAGCTAAGGAGACCCTAAGGAATTATCTCACTTTATCAATGTTAGTATTTCTCATGCTAAGGTACCATGATGAAATAAAGCCCAGTGATGATAAATAGCTCATGAAAACTACAGGGGAACTAAAAGTATTTTTAAGGTGTAAAAAAAAAAGCTATCTATCGATAGCTGGTAACATTGTATGTTAACCAATAATTTCATTTCTGCACTTATAAATTACTTCTGAAACATGTAATTTAAAGGATTGATCAATACACCCACAATTAATAAAAATTTGAAGAATGAAAAATTCATAATTTACAATGATAATGTGGTCCTAGCATGTTCCACTTTGTTTTTTTTTCAAGGCATGCAAGAAAATTTATTTAGCTTTGTGATGCTTTAGTTTCACAATAATGCATACCTTTGGCACTGTAAGCCCCTAAAGTTCCATAAATAGCTTTAATAAGGTAAATATTTAGGTTGATTTTAAGAGGCTTTCAGACATTAAGTTTGAGAAAGTTAGTGGTTTTCAGAATTTGCATACATGACAAAACAGTAAAATAAATCAAACAGTAAGACTTAACACCCTTAATAACATAGTAAGCTGCAATTTCTAATCAAACATCTCTTCCTAGATTATATTCATTTTGATCTCTTATTTTCCATTTTAAACTCTGGTGTTTTCTTCTGAATATAGGTTACAAATAATCTTTTGTGTTAACTCCCAGTTTTAATACCACAAAGTTCCCTGTTTTACCTTAACTGTATTTTTATCATCTAGTGTAGCATATGCTTTTTAAACTAGTTATACTCCAGTAACTTTGTGAATGAAAAAATGTTAAGAAAATAAAGAACAAATAACGGAGTCATTCTTTCACTAATCCTTATCCAGTTTCAGGAAAAATCATTCCCCCAAAGCAGCAATCTGTGTGGTAAATCTTTCCATGTCCGAAACAAAAGTGAAATTATGGGAAACCTATGATAGTTTACTGCATATCGTATGCTTTTAATAGCTCAACACTGGTAATACTTGATAATCGAGAGTAAATTAATAGGCCTAACATTTAAAAATGTATACTTTAATAAGTATATAAACAATTAGGTAAGCTTGTGAAGAAACTGACCAAGATAACATATATTAGGAGATACAAGTGTCCATCTAAATTTTCTATATTTTTTTCTTTTTTTTTAACAGAGTATTTATTCAAGTTGTTTACTGTATAATTTCTCATATGCCATTTTGGAAGTTCTTTATTGTAAAGACTATTCTGTTGTCTGATGACAAACAGCAGCCACACTGTCAGTGATTATTCCGGACCTCCACGTTGGATAAATTCAATTTCTTCTTGAGACACAAGTTTCCTTCTGTATTTCTGAGGTAATGTTTTTATTATTTCTGCAGTATCTGGTGGACCATGATGCATCAGCAAATCTGGTGATTTACTTCCCTTAGAATGCTGTGAAACTGAAGAAGAATGAGACGGTAGTCCTGCTGATCTCAAAACTTCTGACACATTAGGTTTAGGATTGTCTCTTCTGTCAGGCAACCTTATTAATGGTGTATGTGGCTTGACTACCTGAACCACCCTGCTGGAGGACGCCATCTTGCTGCCCATCGTGACCCCAGCCTGGGGCGGCTTCCGGGGCGCTCGCTCCGCGCGGAGATCGCGGGTATCACTTTGAAAATGATTCACAATGTGCAGAAAATTTCTTTCCCAACAGGAATGTACATACTCAGTTTAGCCACAATTCTTTTGCTCTTAAGATGGTGCTACTATAAGATGAAACATTACAGAATTATTTACCATTCAAATTTCATTCAACAAATAGTTGCTGAGTGACTTATTAAGTGCTGAACACTGAATGTTACAAATACTATGCTTCACTTCTTGGATTTCATATTTTTTTTGTTTTTTGATTCAGTAAAATCTATTTCTCTTATAATACTGAGATCAAGGTGACTATTACAATAGATTTTTTGAGTGTTAATACCTTCCTTTTTTCTATTTGATTACATAAATTTTGACAATCACATATGGTCCCATAAGAACTACCATCATGCCAAAGGTACTAAACATTTGCATTAGTCACAAATTCCTTCGTGACCCTACCCTAACCCTTGGAAACCACTTATAAGCTCCTTCTTTCTATAAATATACCTATTCTATAGTGTAATATAAAAGAAATCACACAATATGTAGCCTTTTGAGTCAGTTTAATTTGCCTCAGCATAAAGCTTTTGAGATTCATCCCACATTTTTGAACTTATTAGTAACTTATTCCTTCTACTGCTGGTTAGTATTCTATTCTATACTAGCTAATAAACATTTGGATTGTTTTCAGTCCTGGAGAATACTGAAAAAAAGCTTTTTATAATTTTCTTTTTAAAGATTTATTTATTTTTATTTATTTATGATAGAGAGAGAGAGAGAGAGAGAGATTGAGGCAGAGACACAGGCAGAGGGAGAAGCAGGCTCCATGCAGGGAGCCGGATGTGGGACTTGATCCTGGGACTCCAGGATCGCGCCCTGGGCCAAAGGCAGGAGCCAAACTGCTGAACCACCCAGAGATCCCCTAAAAAAAAGCTTTTATGAACATTTGTATTTATATCAACATATGGTTTCATGTCACTTGAACAAATACCCAGAAGTGGGATGGCTGGGTTGTATGGAAGTGTGTATTTAACTTTATAAGAAACTGCACTGGGGCATCTGGGTGGCTCAGTCAGGTAAGCATCTGACTCTTGATTTCGGCTCAGGTCATGGTCTTAGGGTTTTGCGATCAAGCCCCACATCCAGCTCTGTGCTCAGTGGGGAGTCTGCTCAAGATTCTCCCACTCCTTCTGCCTCTCCCCCCTGCTTATGCTCTCTGTCTCTCAAATAAATAAAAAATAAAAACTTTAAGAAATTATATATATATATATATATATATATATTTTAAAAAACTGCACTGATTTTCAACATTGCTGTATCATTTTGTATTCCCAAACCAATGTATGAGACCAAGTTGCTCCATAAATTTACCAGTTTGTTTTGTTTTAAAGATTCATTTAGTTATTTATTTAAGAGCACATTCATGGGGAGGGGGCAGATGGAGAGTGAGACAAGCTGATACCCCAAGGGAAGCACGGCATGGGGATTGATCCCAGGATCACGATTTGACCTGAAATCAAGAGTCAGATACTTAACCAGCTGAGCCACCCAAGTGCCCCAGTTTTTGTTTTTTTCTTTTTCTTTTTTTCTTCTTCCTTCCTTCCTTTCTTTCTTTTGTTCTTTCTTTCTTTCGTCTTTCTTTTCTTTCAGAAGAATTTATTTATTCATAAGAGACACAGAGAGAGAGGCAGAAACATAGGCAGAGGGAGAAGCAAGCTCCCTGCAGGGAGCCTGATGTGGGACTCAATCCCAGGACTCCAGGATCATGCCCTGAGCTGAAGGCAGATGCTCAACCGTTGAGCCACCCAGGCATTCCCCTAGTTTCTTTTTTAAGTCACTTCAAGATTATCTAAGGTCTAAGATATATTTATAATGATTTTAATTTGCATTTCTTAATATCTAATGACAATGAGAGTCTTCACATAGTTGTTGTCATCTCCATACTTTCTTTAGTGAATTGCCTGTTCATATCTGTTTTTTTTCTATTTTGTATGGGTTTATTTGACTTCTGGGTATAGAGCTTTAAAAGTTCTTTATCTATTTTTGATATAAGATCATCACCAGATATGTGTTTGCAAATATTTTCTCCCAATTTGTTATTTGTCTTTTTATTCTCTCAACTGTGATTTGAGAAGCAAAAGTTTTTAACTCTGAAAACATCCAAACTTTATCAATGTTTATAGATTGTACATTTTGTGTTTACTCAAAACATCTTTATCTAATAAAGCTGTAGGTTTTGCAGTTACGTGTGTGATCCATTCTGAAATAATTTTTGTATATAATGTGATGTGTATATCATGTAAGTACATCATTAAGATTGATTTGTATATACATATTCCAGTATTAATTAGTGCAAATAATATTTTTTCTGTGTTGATTTGCATTTACATCTTTATGAAAATCAATTAGCTGTATATGTGTGGATCTATTTCTATTTCCGTTATTTTTCATTCATGTATGTGTCTTTTCTTTTGCCAACACTGTACTGATTACCATAGCTTGATCTCAAGGCTTGATATCAATAGTATTGAATTCCTCAGTTTTGTTCTTTCAAGAAATTTATTTAGCTCTTCCAGATTCTTTCTTTTGAAATATGAATTTTAGAATGAGCTTCTTGATTTCCACTAAAAATCCTACTCAGATTTGATTTGGATTGCATTATATCTATAGATCAACCTAATATTTTTTAACAATTTTAAGTCTTCCAATCCATGAACATTGTACATTGCTCCATTTACTTAGGCCTTAGACTTCTTCCATCTGTATTTTGTAGTTGTTAACATATAGATCCTATACAAATACTTATGTTTAGTTTTCCATTTTTGTGAAGGTAGATAGATGCACTTTTCCCTTTTCATCTCACTTAAGCTGAACTCATCACCTTGGACATTATATATAAAACAAACATATGAAGGCTCTGAAAGGCAGAGAGAAGAATGAAGACAAGCTAGGGAACTTGATACCAAGGAACAAGATAGTGGTGAGTTCCTTGGATTTCCTTTTTGACTTACATATCCCAAATACTGAAGAATTCAGCAAATCAGAAATACTAATGGGCATAGACCAAAGGAAAAATAAAATGTCCGAGTAAAGCCAGCTCTCTCTTAAGGACCAGGAGAGAGGCAGCATAGTAAGATAGCAACTACTGCACATTAGCCAAATACCATGGAGGTGGGAAACTGGGAGCCCATTCCCAGCCGCACCAACAAAAGTAGTGTGATGAGGGAAAAAGAAGACACAAATTACCAAAATCAGGAATTAGAGGACATCAATACAGGCCTCACATACACATGGAAGATATTAAGGAAATACTAGAAACAACTCTACACACATAAATCTGACAATTAAAATTAAGCAGATATATTTCTTGAAAAAGGGAAAATACAGAACATGAAGAATATATTTTAATAACTTTATAATTAATCAGGAATTTGAAGTCATAATTTATTTTATTTTTTAAAAGATTTTATTTGTTTATTCATGAAAGACACACACACACAGAGGCAGAGACCGCCTCTGTGAAGCAATCAAGAGAAGCAGGCTCCACTCAGGGAGCCGGATGTGGGACTCATCCCAGGACTCCAGGATCACACCCTGGGCAGAAGGCAGGTGCTCTACCACTGAGCCACCCAGGCGTCCCTTGAAGTCATAGTTTAAAAACTCCTAATAGAATCTCCAGATTGATGTGGTTTCACTGAAGAATTTTACCAAATGTTTAAAAAACAACTGTACAGTAGTCTTTCACCATCTCTTCAAGAAAATGCAAGAGACACTTCCTAATTCATTTTATGAAACTAGAATTACCCTGATACCAAAACCAGACCAGCACAGCCCCAAACTGGAAAACTACAGACTAATATGTTCACATATATAGGTGCAGATTTTTTTAAAATGCTTTATTTATTCATGAGAGATACAGAGAGAGAGGCAAGTATTCTTAACGAACGAGGGGTGCTGGAAGGGGAGGAGGGCGGGGCGTGGGGGTGAATGGGTGATGGGCATTGAGGGGGGCACTTGATGGGATGAGCACTGGGTGTTATTCTGTATGTTGGTAAATTGAACACCAATAAAAAATAAATTTATTATTAAAAAAAAACAAAAACAAATAAGATTCTCCAATATGCAAAAAGAATTACAGTCAATATCCAAATTAGATTTATTCCAGTGATGCAAGGTTTTTCAATATTTGAAAATACATAACTTCATTCCACCATAATAATACGCTACAGAGGAAAATTCATATGATCATATTGACTAATGCAAACACACACCCACAAAAAGCATCAGAAAAAAAGTTCGACATACATTTATAAAATCTCTCAGAAAAGTAGACATATAGAAGAATTTCAGTTTTATTAAAAACAATACCAACTTTTAGCTAATATCATACTTAAAGGTAAAAAATTGAAAGCTTTCCCCCTAAGACTTCCCCTCTAAAGACTCTCCACTTAGTACTGGAAGTTCCAGTGAGCATGATGAGGTAGGAAAAGCAAATAAAGAGCATACAGATTAGAGAAGAAAACAGGACATGGTTGTCTATGTAGACATCAAAAATAATGTTTGCAAAAAGATTTTAAATTTTAGTGGAAGGGTTTAATAACTTAATACTAAGTGAAATAAGAAGAACATTTTCTTATGTGTATATACATATACACAAGTGTTAACTTTGTTAAATATTTTTCCTCTTGACATTTTCTGGTACTAATTATTTTTTATATAACTAGAAAAAAAGTTTTAAAATTCATGAAGATTCTAGTCACTGTATTCTGTTTTTAATCCCTGACTTTATTTTTTTTGGTATCCTTATTCCTTATCAAATCATAAGTATCTTTATCATACAGTTTTGCTAAGCAGTAGAAGGATAAGACCAATTTAGAAACAGTAACTGGTCATCTAGAAGCATTTATTCCAACAAACATATTATGGATATCAGTCATTTTAATATGTCCTGGGAAATAAAAATA